AAAAAAAAAAGAAATGTTTAAGAAACACTTAAGAAAATGAAAGTACAGATCAAAATAATTTAAAGTATGTTTAGTATATTACTAGCAGGGTTGTCACATTTAAAGGGCAGTATAATTCTATTGGTATGCCCTCAGTGGTCTTCTTACTGCCTTAGAGAGCTCATTGCCCTTCCTCACTATCAAAAAGCTGCCATGAGAACTGGGGCAAATCAGATACATTATCTTGTATTGAATATAATACTGATGTAGTATAATATATCCACTTTTATTAATCCATTATATGTATAATGGATTTTATTAATCCATTATATGTATACACACACACACACACACATATGGTTTTATAATCTTGTGTGAACCAAACACATTGTGGAAAAAAGTATTTCTTAAGACTTATTCGACTGTTTATATATCAAATGTTGATCTTCAGCTAAGTGTGTGTGCATGTGGGTAAATTTCCAAAACATATCTTTGAACTTATCTGCACAAATTTAATTTTTTTAATATTTTTTGAAATGTTTATTTATTTTGAGAGAGAGAACGTGAGCAAGGGAAGGGTAAAGGGAGATAGAGCGAAAATCCCAAGCAGGATCCATACTATCAACACAGAGCCCAACATGGGTCTCGATCTCAGGAACCATGAGATCATGACCTGAGCAGAAATCAAGAGTTTGATGCTTAACCAACTGAGCCACCCAGGTGTCCCTGAAATTACTTGGAGAAATGTTGGATGACCCGCTTTGTTTTGGCTTCTCTTTAGTTTCCAATCAAGTGAAACAAAGAACAAATTATTGATACATGCAATGATTTGGATGAATCTCAAAGACATTATGGTAAGTAAAAGAAGCCAGACACAAAAGGCTATGTATTGTATAGCTATTTTTCTAAATCTACTAATACATATCCTGGAGAAGTTAGATAAAGATTTCAATGGATTTATTTTCTTATATGACCTCATAAATTTTTGTATTCATTTTCCATCTTCAAAGTATTAGCACACATTTTAACTAGAAAAACAGCAATGAAAACAATAACAAAATGTTAAGACATAAAAAGCAAGAGAACTCCAGTTCACTCAGATAAGAAACAGTAATCCATTTGGATATAAGTGCTTGTTGGATCCAAGAAAGGAAAAATTAAACAAACAAACAAACAAAAAAAGCTTGGATACAGGAATTTAGAAAACCCTGGAACCAAGACCAAGACAATATCAAGATCACAATGCAGTAAAGCTACTTATCCCGTGATTGATGTTTCTCCTCATCCTAATTAGAAACATAATATTCTAGGCTATATTCTAGGCTTTTGACCTTTTTGTTTGTATTTTTGGCATTTTCTAATGGAAATATTTTTAACAGAAGGGACTGAAATTCTTGAGATGGAATATTTCTGGATCCAAAAACCTGTGCCCCAACATCTTTCTCCAATAAGATACACTGTCCTGTGGTAGAGAAGAAAGAGCACTGGCTATGTGATTTTGCTTCAGCTGCTGTATATTCTTTGAGTCTTAATTTTTCATCTATGAAATGGAAATAATAATATCTGCTCTGATTGTTTCTCACAAGGGTTGGGAGAATCAAATGAACTAGTTTTAAAAGCATTTTACAACTTACAAAACTCTACAGAAATGCAAAGGATTAACGTCTTTTAATAGAGTACTTACTGTTTGTATATTCAATACTATATAGGTTCTGGGGACCATATGGAAAGGAATATCTCCCCTGCCTTCCAGGAGCTTGGAATACTTTAAAAATAGGTTTAAATGGATAAAATATAACAAACAAGGCAGCATAATGTCATGGTGTGGTTGCTAAGAGGTTGATGGAGGGTTTCTTACCTAAGAAAGGAGTAGTTGTCAAAAGAAACTTTGTGTGAAAAGATAAGTTTGAGTTGGTTGAATTCAGTCAAGTATTCATCCTCGATGGCCACAAAGAAATGATGTGGGGAAATATAATTTGTCTTCACACATTTAAAGATTGCTCCTAAATATTTTCCTATCTTTCCTTAATGCATTGTCAATTACATATCTGTTAGTTGAAAACTGTCATGTTTATACTTTCTCTCTGCATTCTATAACTAACATTTATTGAATTCATATTATGTGCCAGGCATTGTGCTGGGTGATAGACCTTATGACCTCTTGGAACAAGTTCAATTAATTTAATGTCCTGTGTGTAGATTGGTGCAGTGTTAGAGCTGAAGAAAACCTTAGAGTTTCTCCAGATTAAATCTCTCATTGTATAGAGAAAATAAATAGTGCTCAAAGGGTTAACATCACTTACCCAAGATTTCCCAGATGATAAGGGTAAAGCCAGAACTAGATTCTAGGTCTCCTCTCCCCCTCCCCCAGGTCAGTGTGTTTTCCATCATACTAGACTATAGAATAGTACCATATTTTACTGATTCTAATAGAGTTTTAAATTTTTTTGTACTTATTTCTGAGAAAGAGAGAGACAACGTGAGCAAGGGAGGGTCAGAGAGAGAGGGAGATACAGAATCTGAAGACAGGCTCCAGGCTCTGAGCCAGCTGTCGGCACTGAGCCCGATACGGGGCTCGAACCCATGAACCGTGAGATCATGACCTGAGGCGAAGTCGGATGCTCAACTGAGTGAGCCACCCAGGTGCCCCATTTTACTGATTCTAAAACTACCTCTTTAAAAAGCAATGGTTCTCAAAGTTAAAAATGCATAAGAATCATAAAGACAGTGGTTGTTTAAAATGCAAATTCATGGGGTGCGTCCCGTCCGACTTCAGTTCAGGTCATGATCTCATGGTCTGAGAGATAGAGCCTCGCGTTGGGCTCTCGCTGACAGTTCAGGGCCTGGACCCTGCTTTGGATTCTGTGTCTCCCTCTTTCTCTCTGCCCCTTCCTCACTCGCACTCTCTCTATATATATCTCAAAAGTAAATAAACATTGAAAAAAGTTAAAGTGCAAGTTCATGAGCCTCATATCCAGAAATCCTAAAAACCCAAGACTTGGATTTTTTTTTTAATCCTGTGATTTACCCAAGTGACTGTGGATGTAAACAATCCTTAGATCATATCAGAGAAACTTTTTTATTAAAGTTTCAACTAATGACCTTTGTTTTGTGATTTGGTGTTATTAATAATTTTCATAATTTTAAGGACTTTATTGATCTCTGTTTTTTATTTGATCTTTGTTTCTGCAGATATAAAAATCCTAAACATTAAGTTCTTTTCTTATATTGAAGACATCCAAATGATTGAAAGCTTTAGCCCCTTCATCATAAAAGAAAAAGTGACTATCCCATACCTAACTATCGTGACAGTGACCCAAGACTGAGTTGGTTGTTCATGAATCAATACTTGTCTGGTTTTCACGAAATTAGAAAGGATTTTGTGTTAGCGCAGGACACCTGGTAACTAACACAAACCCTAGAACCATGTCTTGATGACAGTATATACAGGACTCCAAAGGAAGATATAGGCCTCTAAGACCACATTAAAATTTTATCTAAAGCAACACACACACAGTTGTCCCAAGTATATATAAATAATTTTAAGAATGAATACAGCACTCTGTATGTAATGGTCATTCCAAAATTCTTATTGATGATGACACAAAAAATAGTAATCCTATAGACAAAATCCACTGAGTCAATTTTGGTGTAGAACCTCAAACTTAAAAAGACTTTAAACAGTTTCAAAAAATAAAATAAAAGTCTTTAAACATTTTCAGATCATTGTTTAAGCCAACAAAGAAATCCATTCCAATATCGCTAGAATTTTTTCCACCTGCTCTACACTCCCCACAATTGTCGCTCTAGCTGCACCGAGCTCACTTAGAACTCCTGGCTCCTGCTAAGATGGCATTGCCACCATCTCTTCAGCTGTGGTCACGATCATCTTCTAGGACCTTGTAAGTTATAATGAAATGTTCTCTGACATCTACAAGATCTGGGAGATTGCAGACAGACTGTGCCAGGAGGTGGAAGGGAAGATGGTCAGTAGGACAGAGGGCAACATTGACTCACTCATTGATGAAAATGCCTCCACTGAAGGCCTGGTGTGCAAAGGTACCAAAAGCACAGTAATCACCGGTATTGATGTTGTCATGAACCATCACTTGCAGGACACCAGCTTCACAAAGGAAGCCTATGAGAAGTACTTCAAAGATTACATGAAATTAATCAAAGGCAAACTTGAAGAACATAGGCCAGAGAGAGTAAAACCTTTTATGACAGGGGCTGCAGAACAAATCAAGCACGTCCTTGCTAATTTCTAAAACTACCAGTTCTTTATTGGTGAAAACATGAATCTAGATGTCATCATTGTTCTGCTGGACTACCATGAGGATGGTATGACCTCATTTATGATTTTCTTTAAGGAAAGCTTAAAAATGAAAAAAATAATGAATTTAGCTATTACTTTGCATGTATCACCTGTTGTCCTAACTGGCTACTGCTCTTCATCCACACAGCACTAGGACTTAGAAAAATTGGACTGATGTCATCTTGGGCTCTTCATTTATTTTGACCTTGATTTTATTTGGAGTGGAATCATTGTTTTTAATTTTAAAAATGTCATGTAAGTTGTTTAAAAATGAAATGCATTTAAACTAAAAATCATAGCTTCATATATACATAAAAGCTGAAATATATTACAAAACTTTTACTTTTCAAAAAAAGAAATAGAAAACCAACCTTAATTATCACTTTGGTGCTATAACAGAAGAGAAAAAGTCCTCCAGTTAGTGGCCTTTAACAAAAACACTGAGTGCAGCCATCATAGTTCCCAAAAGTCAAGAACAAAGGGGACCCAGGCAAGGCCTCTGAGAACTACGGCATTTTTAATATATATCCAGATGCATACTAAAAGTATAATTCTACCACCCATCTATTTTTAACCTGGGCATGTAACAACTGGACATGTTTCCATGGTTCTTTTTTTGCCACCTGCTAAATTAGAAAAGCAACTAGTTTTATAAATAAATTAGTGAAGGTACTTATTAGAGGCACATACCACTTCCCAAGCAGACAAGGAAAATCAAGCCTTAGAAAAAAAGTACAAAAAAAGGTAGATGCATTAACTATGTAGAAATGTTTGATTTGTCTCTTGAAAGAAGACTCCTCTCCTCAAGTTCAATGGAAGGGTGATTTAAGAAATCAGAACCACAGACTGTTTTAGAATATAATGACATTAGGACAAGCCATTATGTGCCTCAGGGGAAAATGTGTCAGGAGGATACACTGGTAAGCTCTGTGGTATTCACATTATAAAGTTAGAGCATGAATTCCTGAATCAGAGCACATTTGATTCTTTGCTTGGTTCTTTTAAGGTTTTAGTGGAAGTGATGTCCACTTTCCATAAGCTGACTTCAAGTCCTTTGCTGCTAAAATGATTTAATGGATTGCTCTGAAATTAGCTACTAAAATCACAAAATCTTTGCTCACTGAGTGTAAAAGCAGTAACCAGAGATTCACTCTTACAGTCAGAATTTACCATCCTTTACTCATGTAATATCCCGCACCCAATATGCAGAAGAATGTACACAATGCCACAGCAAACACAATTTGGAACACTGAACTGTGTCACTGTCTTATGGGAAAAATGCCAGTGTGGTGGAGACACTGTCGCCCCTCCTGCTCCCCACTTCAAACCAGTCTCCTGTGGTTTCCCTACCCAGAGAGGAAGAGAAACTAGTCACCATAACAACAATGATGTGAGGTTTCATGAAATGGATTATTTTCAGTTGAACAATCACTTGCCACCTTTATAACCTTAAATAGTATAGTCTAAGACTTAACTTTTTTCTATTTATGAAAAAATTATTAATTTGTATAATATTATAAAATAAAAATGTATTCATATAATAAATATATTAATTACACACTTTGCTCAGGGCTACAAGCCACCAAAAATCAATAACACAAGAAACACAAATAGAGGACAAAGGGGCCAAGCTTCTGAATGTCACCAGCTTGTCATTGGGGGGAAAAGGCTCCAGCCTATGGAGTGTCTGAAGTAGGGAGGAGATGAGGATACAACTAGGCATAGAGGTCCTCTCGATCCACTGAGTAGGCCTCATCTTCTTGCAGGAGAGTGAAGTTGAGGAACTGGGAAAATCTGTACACCTCGTGGTAGAACTCTTTGGGGTTTTCCAGCTGCAACTCGTATTTCATGTTGGGATCATGTGGGACAACCATAAAGTTGTAGTTCCATGAGGACTGGGAAAGGACCATAAAAGAACCAAGGAATCTGCCTGACAGCAGCATTTGGACCCTTTCATAATGCAAGGGTAGATAGCCCTTGGGATTGTTGCCTTTGTCTGTGTTCTGGCGACCCCAATCATAGCCACTGAGGGTGAGCTTATAGGCTGTCAGTGTTCAGGAGCCTGGTGCGAAGCTGCAGGTGATGATAATGGTCTTCTCGCCATTCCAAGATGGGTTGTCAGCCATGATCTTAGCATGGGTGGTGACATCCTGGGGTGATAGCTAGAGGGACTCATTGGGCTGAGTGTGGATCTATCCTAAGGGTTCCACTTCCTTGAGATACTCATGCTGGGGCAGCTGGTCAGGCAGATGCACAGTTCGGTGAGTGCCCCACTGTGGCACCATAAGGATGCAGTGGCTCTCTTTCACCTGGGGGTTATCCGGCGGGGCTCACCCTGTACAGGTATCCTGCAATTTGGGCCCGCAGGTTAGATATGCAGATGAACTCCTTAAGTACATTCTTGGGAAGGATATAGGTATAACAGTTCTCCTTGATGTCATCAGATGAAACATAGATATGATTGGACCTTAGGTGAAGGTTGGCAGCAGAGATGGCTCTAACCCATCATTCAGTCTTAGATGAGAAAGTCTGAGTCTCATAGTTACTGGTGGTAGAGGTAATGATCTCATCACCATGCTTGTTGACAGTACGAGTCTGTGTTGCTGTCAGCTGTGACTGTTCCTTGGTCTGCCTCTCAATCTCTGCTATCTGCTACTGCTGCTGTGATGGTGCCGAGATCTTCATACCCAGGATGATGTCTCGAATTTCTGATTGTGTCAGTGATGCCACATTCACGTTGTTTTTCTTGCCGTAGTCAGCCAAGGTCAGATCTTTGAGGTGCCCTTCCACTTTGATCCACTCCTTGTCAGTCAGAGTGGACCAGATATGGTGTGGCTCTGTAATAGCCATCTTGTCTGGCTTCAGGATCACCTTCGCCCAGTCATTGTTCACATGCAGGGCACACAGAATCAGGATGAGGTGGGAGAAAGCCCTATAAGATGAGATAGTCTTGAACCAGCCATCATAGAGATGAAAAAGAACCATCTGGGGTTCGAACACCAGTTTTGATTTAAACACTTCTAGTGAGAGGGAGATCACTCCTTAAGAAGGCAATCTATTCCACTGTGACATCCCTTAAACATTCTAAAGCGCTAAATTCTGACTCCCTGTAATTTCTACCAATTGATCCACATTTTGTCCTCTTAAGTGGTACAGAGCAATTCCCCTTTTGTATGTGAAATCCCTAAAATTACTTAAAGGCAATACACATGGCCTCAATCTCCACCCACACCATACATAACAAGCATTTTATTGTGTCAAATAGCCCTGGTTCTTTCCAAAAATTCCACATTTGGCCTCATACCCAGACTTTAATCCAGGCTGGTTACTCTCTTCTAGAAGAATATCTGAGATTGTTGCAAATGGAAGGAAATCATACACCAGAGGCAGTATCATCAGTCAGGAGTAAATAGAGCTATTAATGGTTGCTTTGGATTTCTAAGCAATTAAGGGAGCCAGAGTTGCACATTAGACAAGATAAAACAATCCAACTATAGCATAGAAGCTCCCACATCTTTTTCCTTATTCAAATTGGCATCCTATTGAAATGTGGAGATCTGTGCAACTAATAATTTCCTTAGGAATGATCAAACAGGGTCATTTACTTCCCTTATAAATCTCTAAATTTCTATGCAAATAAACCTTCTACATCTGAAATTCTTAAGAACAAGTAAAAAAAAAACTAAAAAAATATGTTTCAGAATGCATTAAGTATGACTTCTTCTATGTATATGCTATGATGCAACCTGTCATTGATTTCAACTACAGGCATATCTTGCTTTAGTGCACATGGCTGCTTTGCACTTCACAGGTATTGCATTTTTACAAATTAAAGTCTGTGGGAATACTGCATCAAACAAGAGTATCAGCATCATTTTTTAAATAGCATTTACTCACTTTGCATCTCTGTGTCACATTCTGGTAATTCTCACAATACCAAATACAAATACAAAATTTTTAAATACTCAACATTTTCAATATTATTGTATTTGTTACGGTGTTCTGTGATTATTAATCTTTGATGTGACTATTATAATTATTTTGGGGCACCACAAACCACACCCATAGAAGACCGTGAACATAAATGTTATGTGCATTCTGACTAATCCATCAAACAACCATTCCCTGATCTCTCTCCTTCTCCTTGGGCCTCTCTATTCTCTGAGACACAACAATATTAAAATTGAGCCAATTAGTAACCCTGCAGTGGCCTCTAAGTGTTCAAGTGAAAGGAAGGGTAACAGCTATCTCGTTTTAAATCAAAAGCTAGAAATGATTAATCTTAGAAAAGAAAACATGGAAAAAGATATGATAGGCAAAAATCTAGGCCTCCTGCACTAGTTAGCCAAGTTGTGAATGCAAAGGGAAAGTACTTGAAGAAAATTAAGAGTACTATTCCAGTGAACACACAAATGATAAGAAAATGAAATAGCCTTGTTGCTAATATGAAAAAAGTTTTAGTGGTCTGTATAAAAGATCAAACCAGTCACAACATTCCCTTAAGCCAAAGCCTAATCCAGAAACTAACCCAAACTCTCTTCAATTCTATGACTGAAAAAGGTGAAGAAGCTGCAGAGGAAAAGTTTGAAACTAGAAGAGATTGGTTCATGCTGTTTAAGGAAAATCTGTCCCCATAACATAAAAGTACAAAATGAAGCAGCAAGTGTTGATGTAGAAGATTCAGCAAGTTAACCAGTAGATCTAGCTAAGGTAATTAATGAAGGTGGCTAAACTTCACAACAAATATTCAGTGTAGATGAAACAGGCTTACATTGAAAGAAGATGCCATCTAAAATTTTCATAGCTAGACAAAGAAGTCAATACCTGGTTTCAAAGCTTCAAAGAACAGGCTCCTGACTGTTGACTCAGGCTAATGCAGCTGTTGATGTTAAGTCAAAGCCAACAAATCCTAGAGCCCTTAAGAATTATGCTAAAGCTACCCTTTTGCTCTAT